TATAGTGGAATTTCAACCAATATCGCACGATAGGAGATGGATTAGCACAGCAAACTAAGAACAAACGTGAGCCCTCTCAATGCTTGCGCCTTATTTTTAATGCTTAAAACACTATATAAACTGTTTAAAAAAGTGTTATTCTTCCTTAACAAAAAGCAGCGCATTCAAATATACGTATGGTGAATTGTCCAAACAGTTCACATTCATTTAAATGGCAACGACAACCATGTCTCAACTGAATATCACTACTGACTACATCGTATTAATTCCTCAACAATATCGTTTCAAACTTTGTCTTCTTTTTTTTATATAATAACAGTAAAAATTCATAATCATATGTTGTTGTCAGGATCAAGAACTGGGCTGCTTTTTAGTGAAAGCTGAATTCGGGGCACAACTGAGTGCACTACACACTCTTCGGAAAACACTTAGTAGAGAAAGAAACATTATTTTCCCTATTCCAAAGCGTCACCAAAAAAAAGCTCTTTTTACCAATAGACAGAGTGGAAGGTCTAATTTTGAACTATGTCTGATTTTTACAGTTAGCGCATTCTGTTCACTAAAAATGATTTTTCTATCTTTGTCGTTCTGTTTTCGGACAAAATTTTCTTTTCGTTTTTCTCACTAAATGTGGCAGTTAAAAAAACGCTTCCAGTGCCAAAAAGATAGAGCGTATGCTAAAATATATGACCTGCTACTCAAATTTTCGAAACTCGCGCTTTTTTTTCCACCTAAATATGACGTGGTTGCCCACTTTGCTACGTACGTTATTTTAAAGCAAGTGTGTGTATGGCAGCGTATGCTACAACATCAAGAAGGATAACTGAATGAATTGATGTCTTCCTTGAGAAGACATCAATTCCTCATGTTGACTCATAAGTCAACCTGATAACCTTATACAAATAACTACTCTTGAAGAAAGGAGAAGAAAAGCTAAGAATAAAAGACAGTTCTACAGATAGCATCATTTTATACTAATGATGGACTAGTCAATGCTGAACAAAACCCATGTAAAAAGTAATGAGTGGTTCAACGTTTTATGTAGAAACGTTCTCGCAATCCGTTAGATGATCCTGGAGAAAAAGTTTACTTTTCGTATGTGGTTTGTCATAATGGATGTTTAGTTAGATATTTTACCTTGAAAGAGGAAAAGACCACGAAGTACAATCAAACGTCGTACTGCTTAATGCTTTAGGTGAAAATGAATCGAAAAAACAAAAGATTGGTCTATACATATTAGTAGTTTGTACACTCGATTTGTTTATTACCATTAGTAATGTAAATTGGCAATCATATTTATTTACATGAAAATAATGAACTTACGAGAGTATCAGAATCACTTCAAAAACAGAAACTTTTAGATTTTGATAGTTCATTTTCCATTTTTTTGTTACTAATTCTCATGCAGCCGGTGTGCCCGTTTTGTTTATGCGTTTTTGTGAAATTCCTCCGTTAATGAAACAAGCTGAATCACAACAGAATTCAATGTTTTTCAATGCAACAGTCGATTATGAAATAATCCTATTTCAATCATTAAAATTTTTAAACTGAAAACGGAATTGTGGTTTATACTTTCTACTTGCACCAGGTGGATTTCGACGATGGTATATTCATTTCGTCATCCAATGCGTTCACACTCTACAGTTGATAAACTAAAGCCTACTTTCTGGGAAAACAGTGTTCGTCTGGTATTTTGTATTATGGGTCATTTGTATGGTCAAAATGGCAAGAATTTGATTAGAGATGATGAAGACGGGAAATTAAATGGTAAAAAACTAGAGCAATTTGACGAGAAACTAACAGATATAAAAGATTCATTAGGGAAAAAGAATTGAAAACGAAGTTTCACTGAATACAAGAACTGACATGTAAGATAATGCGCGTGTCCTGTATTGTGTACGTGTGCGTGTGATACTGCTTGATTTATACGTTCTGTTGAAGTAGTTCTGTGGATAGGCTTTATACTCATGTGTACAACACAAAATCAAACCATGTACAAGGATCCAATTATGTGACTATGCTTAAATGTCAAGGGCGTCTATCCCCACCTGAATATCTGAGGCATTTTGTACCACCTCGAAGGTTCGATCAGTCAGTGTACCACCTAAACAATTAATTTTTACAGCAAAAAAAGGTACCACCTTACGTTTGTTTGAGGCATTGCGCCTCAAACGTCCTACAGGTTAGACGCCTCTGTTAAATGTACTTGTTATGTTTTATATATTTTCACTAATAGTTTTCTATGTTTTATTTATAATCCAACTAACTTTATAATAACATCACATGTAATGAGAAACATACGCCTTTTATACAGATTTCAAGGCACTCGCGATGATTTCAATTCCGACCTTTTCGCCTGCGTATCAGAAAAATTTTTTTGACATAGCCAGCGTGAAAGAGCGCATGCCTCTAGAGCAGAATAATACAGTATGTGTCTTGTGTCCTGATTCATCAATGAATATTATCATACTTGGAGTGTGGTATGCAAATGCCAATGTTGATAATACAGAATCGAATGATGGTGCTGACGTAACACAAAAATAAAAAATAAAAAAGCAGAAGCAAGCAGCTTGTGTGAAACACGTGGCTTGTGGCACATTTCTAACGATCTTCGTCTTCATTATTTGAACGGTAACCACGTTCATTTGATCGTCGTCCATTTGCATGTCGTTCATTTACTCGTTGCTGTTGGAATAGATTTGTTGCTTTGTATATATGAATGGTTGTCTAATCGTTTGCGGCTTTTGAATGTTTTGATAATAAAAAGTGGATCGAAATTGTTCTATCAAACGTTGCTAATCTCTCATCAATCTCAACAATTTTGGTGCTGAGGGCACTACAGTGTTCAGGAATGATTTCTTCATCATTCCACATTTTATTCATCTGTTCGTCTATTTTTGTATGTGCAAGCTTTTTGAGTGCTAGTAGACATTTTTGTAATGTTGTTTTAGCACTCAGAATCGCTGTATCCCATTCGTTTTGTATGGTTGTCAACTCGGCAGTGACTAATGGTAGACTTGTTTCCACTGATATACCGAGACGTTTTAACGATGGTGGTGCTTTCATTCTCGTTCGTGCTTCGAGTTTTTCAACTTCTGTTATCACTTCTTGCATTTTTATATGCAAGTTCATATACAAATTGATTCGCTCTTGTTCGACTTTTGTAAAATGTTGAGCATCTAGTCTCGTAATCAGTGTATTTCGGTCCGCTTTCATTTTAGATGTTTTAACTCTTTTGAAAACCGTTTCACGGACATGCAAGAGTAGTTTAGTAGCATGTCCATCCTGCCAGTTGTCAATTTCATGTTGAATCGTTTGCCATTCTTGATGGTTTAGTATACTAGCATCAGGATTAATGCCTTTATCACTTGCCCATAATTGTATAAGCTCAACTAATATGTGTTTGGCATGTGCTGTGGCTTTTCCGCATTTTTCTAATGCATTCTGTTGCCATTCGTGCAATTTTTCTATGTATTTCGATGGATCAACATTTGTTTCACGTAACTTGTTTTTAATGTCTTTCGGCAATGTTTTTGGATCGGTGTACATTTGATAGTAATTGCTAGTAAGCAAATAATGACAACTATGATGATATAGGTGATACCACAGGTGAATAACCTAACGTTGTGTTGTCTGGTGCCGTAGAATGGGGTTTCTTGTCAACCAGAAGCACAAGACTCCTACCAAATCTGTTATCTTCATTACAGGATCTGATTTCATATATAACTGATTCATCATCATCCGTAGAATTACAACCACAATAGCAAGCAACCACAATAGCAAGCATTGAATACGTCGACAATTAGTAAACGGCAGACACCGACATCCCCTGATACATTACAACACAAACGGATAAAACAGAAACCCCATTTTACGCCACCAGACAACACAACCTTAGGTTATTCACCTGTGGTATCACCTATATCATCTCAACTATCACGTACACCATCTCCGATCAAAGAGCTGCACGCATCCATTTATCTACCATTTCAACAAGAATCGTTACCAGTTATGGCAGCGAACATGAAGGTGACAACCACGTCTGGTATTACAACCACCGAAGAACGAGTTCACATAGATACAACGAAAGCACCATTTGTACCGGTCCCATGGGTGGTAAAAATCGCTAAAGGTAAGGAGTGGAAATCACAGAAAAAAGGGAATACAGATAACCAAGGCAAAAGTAAAATGAATGACAAACGGTCAAAATCGCATGATGACAACCAAAAAACGAAAAAAGATAAAGACACTTTAGAAGTACCACTAAATACACGATCAACAATTGTTGTCTCGCCAATTGAAGAACGACATCGATCACCGTCATCGAGTTCACCACGCACACATTCGCCACGATACGGATCTAATCTAGGGGAACTTCATTACCCAACTATGGGTTATGAAGCATCTGATGATGATATATATCCGTACGTTGGCGATTATCCCGCATATTGTCCGTCGTATTTCGTTTCTGGTTTACCTTATCCTTACTATCCACCACTGTTTCCATACCCATATTATGGTGCTAATGATACTTACGATCAACGTACACGTTTACCGTCACCATATCGACAGTATACTCGTCTTCGCTCACCATATCGACAGTATACTCGTCTTCGCTCACCATATCGACAGTATACTCGTCTTCGCTCACCATATCGATCATTGCCGAAAAAGGAACGACAACCATACCGCTCACCTTCACCACCTTCACCATATTACCGTCAACGATCTAATTCACCACAAATATCTCAAATGTCGCTGACAACATCATTCATGGAACAACGAAAAGCACGAGAACACACTCGACAACCACCGCGAAATAATCAGAATACGAGTAAGATGCACCTAAGGCATACTAGTAGTGAAAAAGAAGTTGACGTGTTTTTTAGCCTATCCGATAGCGAATTGCGCGCTGATCACGAATATGTGTCGTACTTTTTTTTGAAAACTTTTTGCCGGTTGAAAAAGTCGAAAAACTTCAAAGTACTCTAAAA